TTTTTTATCTCGAGTAATACAAATGGATTAATAATATTTCCTTAATTAAGGTAATAATTGCCTGAATTACATCACATTTCCTTAAAATACACACGGCATTAATAAAAACGAATGGTATTAATCTTGGTAATTAAATAAAAACGCATTAAATACACACGGTATTTCCCTTTTTTATCTCGAGTAATACAAATGGATTAATAATAACCATAGATTAAATGTAATAGATTAAAATCGACGGTCCATAGACCATAGCATTTGGGCGGGAAAAAGCATGGGGCATAATTCCCCTGCTTTTAAGAATAAAATGATTATTAAACCATTATTTTTTAGCTTGTTAATTTTATTTTTTTCTTGAATTAATGATGTGTCGTTTAAAAGCATGCATTAGTATATTTCCTTAATTAAGGTAATAATTGCCTGAATTACATCATATTTCCTTAAAATACAAACGGCATTAATAAAAACAAATGGTATTAATCTTGGTAAATAAATAAAAACGCATTAAATACACACGGTATTTCCCTTTTTTATCTCGAGTAATACAAATGGATTAATAATATTTCCTTAATTAAGGTAATAATTGCCTGAATTACATCATATTTCCTTAAAATACACACAGCATTAATAAAAACGAATGGTATTAATCTTGGTAATTAAATAAAAACGCATTAAATACACACGGTATTTCCCTTTTTTATCTCGAGTAATACAAATGGATTAATAATAACCGTAGATTAAATGTAATAGATTAAAATCGACGGTCCATAGACCATAGCATTTGGGCGGGAAAAAGCATGGGGCATAATTCCCCTGCTTTTAAGAATAGGATGATGTCGAGCATCCACACTGCGTCACTGCTCCAGGAGGTAACTCTGAATCCTTATTGTTGCTTATGTTATAATTATTTGTTGTCTTTAATATTTAGTTATTCGTTGGTTTATTAAGTTATATAAAGAAATAATTATGTGTAGTGAATTTGGAGGGTGAATCTTAAATTAGGGCTGTATTTGGTGACAAGAAGAGAAAAATGGGGATTTTGATATCTCTAATATCAAAGTCCTAATTTTGGTGTTGCTGATTTAAAAAGGAATTAAATTCTGAAAGCTAGAGATATGGGAAATTTCCAACCTTAAATCACCGCTATCGAAAACGAGAAAGACGTTGTTATCAAAATCGAAGGAGATGAAGATGGGAAAACTCTGTCTCAACACATCAAAATCCTCTTATCTTCACATCCAACTCTATGTCTCCTTCCCATGGGGCAACGCGAAAGTCGTGTCTCTAGCAGCAGATTTGGATCATCGACAATGACGGCCGAGGAATATGTTTTCTATTCATAACACATGCTCACCATTTAGTTTCCTATACGTTCCTCTGCAACGAAATTTGGTGAAGTCCTCAGCGGTGGATTGGTCACTGTTTTGCTACTATTCATAATCACTACATATATACATAGTATATGTCTTTCTCACTAAATACCTTCTAATCAGATTTCGGAACTCATATCCTCTCCTCTCAAATTAAAATAAAAACTCATATCTTATCACATCTTCAAAACTCACCAAGCGAACCTAAGTCATAATTCACAATTATCCATGACGACTAGTGCGATCATGTTATATTAATAATTGTGAGAAAGAATATATTAGATTACATGTTGATAACATGTGTAAGAGTTAGGAAAAAAAACATAGTCACAGTTGAAAATCTCAACCACCCGAGTCGGATTTAACACGCTAGTAGTTGGTTCGTATAAAGAATGTAAATATGAAAGAAAAAAAAAGCGATATAAAAGAATGTAGATATGAACTTAGCTGCTCGGTGCCAACTTGAGGGAAATGGATAACTCACAATTATCCTTGAAGTTGATTTTGATTAATTTCGGACCAAATTTGTTGTGCTGAGACTCTCAAAAGATAATTAGCTTTCTCAAAATTTTAGCATCACACCACCAAAGACTTATTAATGCTTAATATTGAAATACAAGGTGGCTCAATATAATGGGATGAATCACACAACGTAATAATTCTAGAAGAGAATAACAAGATATGTACTAATTCGCCAATTTTATATATCGAAAAAAACATCTCACAGTTGAAGATTTATAACTACCATCATGTTGTAAAGTATATGTAAAACCTGATGTCTAGAATGAAATGTTCCCAACAAATAATTGTTGAATGAAGAAAATGAAAACAAATATTATGGGTTGAACCATTAGGATTAACTCTAAACCAAAGTATTTTGGTGAATACACATAATTTGAAGCAAATGAAAAAAACTTATAAATTATAAGCTACTTAATGAACTTACGCAGCTAATAATAAATATCATATTGAGCAGTGGTTCACAAGAAAGAATTTTTGAATTAGACAGTTTTGCAGGTAGTTACCATATATTTAAAAAAATTGCCATATATTTAGACTATGTGAGAGATTACTATCTAATAAGTTATCTTTAGAAAATATATATAATAGATAAGTGAAGTGGACTGACGTTAGATTAAATTTGAGGAAAGTAGCTTCTAAAGGTTACTTTTAAGAATTTAAAAGTTTTGACAAGTATGATACTTTTAATGAGATTAATTTTCTAACAACTTATTAACTAATACAAAAAGAAATTTATATGAATCAACTAAACGAGGGTTGCTCGAGAAAAAAATATTGCAAAGGGGTTTCAACTACGCTCTTTTAAATTGGTGATGATAATATTTTAAGTGGTAAGTGGCTCTGCAAAAAAAAACTATATAAAGTAACTTCAAGAATAATTTCAGGTAAGCTTGAAATTAAATTTGTTCAATCCATGTGAGAAAAGGGTATATTGTAGCACTAAGGTAAGGTGTGAAATTGGTGGCCCTGTGGCATCATTAAAAAAATTTTTATCTAGTATTCAATTGAATCGCTGAATACTGAAATGACAACCAAACTCAGAAGGGGCTGCAGACTCAGACGAATGAGGATGTTTTATTTCGGTGTCAGACGAGGATGACAATATGAGGTAATGTTTAAACAAAGAAAAAAACAATACGTTTCCTCTATACAAAAAGGGGGTTAAGAAATAAAGTATGTAAAAGGCTATGTTATTCAAGACAAATTGTTACTTTCATAAAAATAATTATTTTAAGATTGAGTGTTAATCCTTTAGATAAGCGGCGTAGTGATTAAGTCACTTTAACATTTTCCCTAGAGAACTTTTGATAAATGATTAAAACGGTCATTTTGCACACACAAAAAAAAGAAGAAAATGCGTAATGTCATATAAAAAAAGGTGAAACGTGATGCCGTGAAGTATACCCTAGGATTTAGTTTCAAATATGTAACAAATCATAATTTTAATTTTTGTTTAAATTAGATATAAAAAAACAAAAAAATGTCAGTGCTATCAAAGTTAAATTTGATGGGAAAAATTTATATTCAAATTGAAAGTCCCGACAAGACGAGTTTAATAACGTACTTCGCGTGTGAATCTGAGTTATGGAAGTTAGGGAATTGCCCGTCCCAAGATTGAGAAGATTTTAAAGTGAACGAGTAAAATACAAGGGTGACGTGGAAATTATGTTTACTCACGGATAGGATCATTGGGTAGGTCTCGCAAAAAGGGGTGACCCGTGACACATAGTTGGTTGAATTTAGATTTATGTTCAAAAAGTGGTCATCAAAATAAATGTTACAGTTCAGTAATTTTATAATAGAACTTTTAATAACAAAATAAGAAAATTTCCACCCCTAAATGCAAAACCATCACGGAGTGATACTTTCCAAATCAAAGGCCCATTTCCAAGATTTCCACCTATTTAGTTAGCACTCTTCATCGTATCATCTTCTCCTTGTTTCTTCATTATTCAGATTTGCCAGGGAGAAACACCGGAGTATTCTCCAACTATTCTACATCAATTAAATTGGGAGTATCTTCGTCATACAACTCGGTATTAATAAGATTTATCATGTCCTGTAAGGAAACTATTGTGGCCCGTTGTGAAGGGAGAGATCTTTGAGTTTACAACACGGTTTTGACTTGCCAGCAAGTCAAGGCCGAGCATTGAGTACCGTCTAAAATGTTACATCCGCCTTCTATCCTCGAGCGGAAATGGGTGTATCACAATAGATTTCGTAATTGGCTTACCCTTACGACGCTGTATGGTCATTGTGGATCGTCTTACAAAATCTGCAGACTTTCTACCTATTTGACGGGGTATGTCGCTTCAGAAGTTAGCTGAATTGTGTCTTCGCGAGATTGTTCGATTGAATGGAGTGTCGGTATCTATTATCTCCAATATAGGTCCCTGTTTCATTATAAAGTTTAGGAAGGGACTTCAACAAGTTTTGGGTACCAAGCTAAATGGGAGCACAATCTTCCACCCTCATGGCGGAAGTTGGTCTTATAGCGTATCAGTTGGAGCTATCACCTGAACTGAACAAGATTCACAATGTGTTTCACGTCTCTATGTTGTGACGTTACCGATTAGATCCGACCCATCGGTTACCCGAGGGAACAATCACTTTGGACGATAACTTGACTTATGAGGAGGAGCCTGTGCAGATCTTAGCACGGGAGGTGAAGCAATTGAGAAATAAGCACGTGCCTTTGGTCGAAGTCTTGTGGCGCAACCATGCCGTTGAAGAAGCCACGTGGGAGACTAGGGATTCCATAAGAGTTCGGTATCCTCACCTTTCCGGTGACAATGATTTAGGTAATTTCGAGGACGAAATTCTTTTAAGGGGGGGGGGGGGAGAAATGTAACGCCCCAAAACCCGACTTGGTATTTTTAATTAATTTATATAATTAATTAATTACTAAGTCGAACAAAATGAAGATTATTTTCTAATTTGCGTATTTAATATGAGAGTTGCCCTACGTTGTAGGGCTCGCTATTCTGAACCCGACCGCGCAAATGGATTGAGAATCGGACTTATAGGGCCCAAGATATGACTGCCAAATAAGGTAATTGGACCTAAATACATCCTGACAGATTAGAAAATGTAAACTGGAAGCCAAAATTTAATTAATTATCATATTAAAAGCAGGAGGGGGTTACGACAAACGCACATTCACTCTTCCTCGTACGTTTCCCGTCGGTCTACGCTCCACTTCCGTTCGTCGTTCCGCCAGCCAGGGAGAGAGACGCCGTTGCCGAGCCGCCTGAACGCCGCCGTCGCCGTCGCCGACCGCCCCTCCTTCCCCGTCGCACAGTAGATCCGGCCGCAACAGGGAGTGCAGCGGCGAGCTTCTCTCTTTCGATTTGGTTTTTGATTCTTCAATTTCGAGGTGATTCGTGATTCCGATACCTATAGTTGGCGCTAATTCGTAGATTAGGATCTTGTGGTATCAACCTAGTGTGTGATTGTGAAATTTGTGGTTGATTGTGCATTGGATTGGATTGGGTGTGTGTTGGGGGGCTGTTTTCCGGCGATTGGCCGGCGGCTGGCCGGCGGTGGCTGCGGCCGACGTACGGGCAGTTTCCGGCGGGTCCAATTTGGATCCAATTGGTTTGATTTGGACCCAATTGGTTTAATTGGGTCAATTCGGGTTCAATTGGGTTAGCTCTTGTGCAATAGGGTTTCAATTGGGATTGATTTTTGTGCAAACGAGTCGGTTTGGATTCAATTGGGGCTGTCCGGGCAGTTGGGGCTGACCGGGTCGTTGGGCCGACAGTCCGGGCTGCTGGGCCGGCGGGTCCGGCTGTTGGCCGGATGCGTTGGGCCGGCAGAGTGGGGCTGCCGAACGGGCAGCGGGTTGGGGCTGCCGGGTTGGTCCGGCGGGTTGTCGGCTGATCCGGTGGTAATTGATACTGTTCCGGTGGGGGCAGCGGGACCTGAGGATGGATTGGGCTCGATTTCGCGCAAGTAAGTTGAGTTAACTGTTATTCTGGTTGTTTGTTTATGCATGACAGTAATCGTAGGTATTCAGCCCGGATAGGCCGCTACGTGATTTGTTGTGGATTGTGAACTGTAGTTTAAATTAAATTGATCTTATTGGTGAATAATGTGGATTATGAATAATATATGAGAAATAGGCCACCTAGTATAATTAGGCGGACCTGAATTGGATGGACTGATTGAATCACCAATAGGATATGGTTAGGAAATTGGCCATTGTGGGGCGTCGTCGCACCCTCGGTGGTCTTGGGTTAAAAACGTACGTACGGAAGTCCGCGACCTGTCCTGGCATCGCAGGGACAGGGGCTTCAACCCGCCCAAAAAGAATCTCCTTTGGGTTTCTGAGCTGGCCCTTTTATAGCATCGCTTGGGGTGCCATGACTCAAAGTTAGTTGATGTGAAATAAAATAATGACATGATGTTCAAATGGAAGGTGCTAGAATAAATATGTTTATTTAAGCTGTTTTTCTCCATGACCACATGCTGTTGTTTAATTGTATGTTAATGTGGTGCTATTCTGTGAGTTAATGCTGGCTTAGGTATATTTTCACTCAGCGTTTCGCTGAGCGTGTAGTCGTTCTTGTTTGACTGCACGCAGGTAGGAATACATATTTGGATGGGCAACCCGGACGGCAGTGAAGTGGTGGCGTGGCGTGGATGGCTCATGTTTGCCTTAATAATCAAACTACATTATTTAAATTGATTTTATGGACTTTTGGACATTATTTTGGTTTTATTGTGCTTCCGCGACGTTTGGACTTATTTAATTACTTCGATGAACTTTGGTTTAGTTTAAACTCTTACGGACGAATTTTATAATTTATTTAATTATTTATTTTAGAAAAGAAAATTTATGCATGCGAATACCAACTTAGTAACAACTCGGTTCGTTAACCCGTTGGTTCGGGTTACGCGGGTTGGGGTGTTACATTCAATCAAACTATGCTTTCGATGATAAGTAGTTAAGCCACTAGTCGTTTCGTAACAAGATGGCAATTCATTCAACAAGGTTCAGGTGTCTATAACTTTTAACAATTAGATTTTTTTTTTGAATTTGATCGAACAAATCGTCAGTACGTATTGAAGGGTAGCGATCCTTGATCGTTAGTTTGCCAATCTTTCTTAATAGAGATTTGATGGTATCCAGACCGTAAGTCAATCTTAGAGAACACAATGGATCTTTTAAGCTGATCAAATAAGTCATGCCACGAGGTAAATGATAACGAATTGTTCAATTGGCAGTTGTTGATACGGAGTCTCATCGATTCCTTCTTTATTTGCGTATTAACAGAACATGCATTTTCTCAAGGAGGAAACACTTGGTTAGATGACTCTTTGTCAGGAAATCTTTATAGTTGAGTTTTTAGTCTTGACGGAAAACACATTTAATACGGAGTTACGAATATTGGTCCTTTTAGGATTAAGATTGACAGAGAATTCAATCTCTTAGAACGATGAAATATTAGGAAGTTCATATGAGAGAGGTGACATACTTTCGATACGTCCCTTCAGTTCAGATGTTTCTTTTCGCGTATCACACGAATAGACTCCACAGTTCTTACGGTTGAGATGTTTTCACATATATATTCGAGATGAACTCGGTCGGTTTAGAAATCAACTTTGCTTTTGCCTCTATGAGGTTACTATCATTGGTCTTCAGTTGAGGAATTCTTCATCACAAGTTGTCAACAACAACGATGTTCAGTCAGTCAATTCATACTAAGGATAATGTCAATTTCCTTGCATGCATGGTATTTCCACGAGGTTTTGCAAGAAATTGTTGCTTAATGAACGATTTCGATTCATATGATATAATCACATATTTGCGTCGTAATGAGTTAGACATCAGAATGGGATACTTTAGATAACAAAGTTTATTGATTCTAAATGTTCGTGTTTGAATCAGCGATCAGATCGTCTTGAGTCCACATGAGGATCTTTGGCATCAGCTTTACAGATGTTGTTCAACTAACATAAATCAACACTAATCGTTCTTCAGGATCGTCTCACGTCCGTGCGACATTTATGGTACAGATCAACTGCGTCATTCGCGATGTGATGCGTACGTTGATAACGTTATCAGAGGGTTATACATTTTTCGTTTATTCTCTCGTCTCTTCACCGAGTAGAAAAGTTCGACTTGGGTCTAGCTTGATACAATTTCAGTACTAACAATTTTTATCTAATGAGAATTTAATACAGTCAATATTTATCAATTAAATTCTCATTACCTTTCCTGGAGCTGAGATGAAGTAGAGGATGCGGATGCACAATTTTGAAAACAATTTAGGCAAATGGTCCAAAAACCGATTTTAAAACCATTTGCTCGGATACCAAAATGTAACACCCTAATCCATCCAGGTCTGCAGCCCCTTTCGGACTAAAGTATTAACTAGGTAACGTAAAATTTCAAACATTTAAAAACTTTACTCTTTATTTCAAATAATTGTGCAAAATATTTCATGATTACATCGGAGTAAAATTATTTAAAATAGTGTGGAAGCGATTTGCAAACTACAACAGTATGATCAACCATGTGATAAAATCATTTACTTAAATAGTAGATTTGTGCAAGTCCACGCATCACCTCCATCTCAGTAATCTTCAGAATAGGCTCCACATTTATTCTCTCTCATACCTACGTGTAGAAAGATGAAAAACTCTACACGCTCAGTAATGAAGTTGAGTCGTACCATGGCACAACAAAAGAATTGAAAGAATAATTTCTTAAACAATACCAATCACATATATATGTTCAAATATTTGCTTTTTCATATTTAAATCCGTCTTTGTAATTTTAACAATGATAATGAATATAGCCAATCTTAACTATCATCATTCAAACTTATATAGGAACCACTTCATAGTTCACAATAATCACATGTAATTTTTGTTATCACAATATTCATCATTTGTCACACATAATTTCATATTAAGTTTTATCACAAATAATTGCTCTTAACTTACTCTAAGCTAATGCCAAATCATAATAATGCTCTTAAACTACTCTTAGTCTAAGGTCAAATTCATATTGATATATAACATAGCTCTTAAACTATAACTAGTCTAAGGCAATATTTCTAACCGGGTTCTTAAACTATAAATAGTTTACGGCAGAACACAAGAATCGATAATCCACCATACGAGTCATGTGGATTACGTACCAACCGAACAGTGAACTATGAATTGGATCCCGTACGTACGTTTTAACCCCGAATTATGAATTGGTCAATGAGGTATATCTTAGAGTTCTTCTAGATATCCTAAAAAATCATCATCAATTTCCAAGTGGGTATATCATAGAGTTCTTCTGGATATCCTTAACAATACACATCATTTTCATTATAATCAAGACATTCATTTTTACTCATGATTCAATCATTCATAATTATTATTTTAATAAGAATATTCATCAAAGTCTGATCATAAACAACATCAATAATAATCATCATAATATCCAATAACAAATAGCGACTTAGCATCGAGTGTTAACACCCTAGCTTATCGTCATATATCATATAAAGTTCTTTAGTTGTCCAAACATCATTTTTTTTACTCTAAGAAATTGTCTTTACATTGATGTATCAAAAATAGGATTTTATATCTTCTAAAATAGCATTTTTCGGACTTAAAATGTTCGTAACGGTCGACCGTTGGATCCGCACGGTCGTTCGTACCGTTCTGGAAAACGCAGGAAAACAGAGTTACCATTCATCATCTTCAACCTTCAATCTAATTTCTCAAAACACCATTAAAGCTTCTAAGCTTTAAACTAAATTCATAAAAATGTTTTCTAATGTCCATAAATCATTCGCAAATGATTTATTTGAAGCTTTAACAAAAAAACAAATTTGGTGATTGTGAATATCAAAATATTTATATTTCCAAATATATATGTATCAATAAGTTCAAAGATCATTCCAATGCCTTCTAAAGTTGTTTAAAATCATGGTACAGACCTGGAAATCAACGAGATGAAGCTCAACAAACGAACGGGAGCGAAAACAACGTCGGAAATCTCAAAACCCGTCACTTCCCGTCACCACTATACCAGCCCTGATTTTCGGGTCATATCTCCTTCGTTACTCAACGAAATCACGGGGCAACTTCCGGCAAGAACTGTGGCTACCTCCGGTGACTTTAACGGCGGCGATCACTTGCGGCTTGTTCTCCATACAACAAGGAGTAGAATGGAAGAAGAATGAAAGAGTTTGATTGTTAGATGAAGGAGAAATTGGTACCCCATTTATAGGGAAGAAGGGGAAGAAGATGATGAAGGAAGAACATTTCATGCTATTGTTTGGGCGGCTGAGTGTGATCCTCAATTTGGGCTGATTTTATACGCCTCTCTAATTTTCTATCTGATTAGGACTAAAATGGTTTAAATGGGGGTATGTTTTTGGTCCAACTTTGTCCAAATTGAAATCTGATTGTACCGTTACGGTTAGAGTGTCATGCTTTACGCGACAATATAATTTTCACATTTTTTGGAATACTTTTTCTGACACCATATTTTTGGGTGTTGACTTTGACAAAGTCAAAATTGAATTAATTGATATATAATTAAAATTACTCTCATATTCAATCAATATTATTAAAATTTAATATTTATTTCAATAAATCATTTTACATGCAAAAGTTCACATCTTTGACCACTTCTCATTTTTATGCAAATTACATATTTAAAATGTCATAACTGAAAATCTGTATATAAGATTTATTCATAAAATATACCGTTGGATTCGTCTCTTCAAGACCTATCCATAAAAGTCAATCTTAACAAAAAATCATTGACTCCAAAAATTCCTTCTTTTTTCGTCAAACATAGAAATAATGTTTTGTTGGGTCAAAATATTGTTTCTAAACTACTTTTATTATAGAATAACTTTTAGACCATGTTTTGGGGCGTTACAATGACAGAGTTAATGCTGTAACACACATGCAATCACATCCAACATAAAGGTAAAGAAAAAAACATGACACACTTCAGATTTGTTTACGTAGTTCGGAGCTGAATCTCCTACGTCTGTGAGGCCCATGTCCGTGTAACAGCCCTCCACTTGATCATAGTAAAGTTTACACAAATCAAACACAATAGATCCTTCTAATGCTTTGACAAGAAAAAAATTACCAAAGACCTTTGTTGTCAAACTATGTTTGCACCTGCCACCTTGGCGTGTTACACCCTCTCTAGGTTTCTTCCAAGAACGTGAGTTCAGCCTAGCACCAGGACAACAAATACTCAACTCCTGGACTTGTGTATCATGAGTCGGTCATGGATTCAACAACTAAGAATGGTGTATGTCTGGTGTCTATATCCACGGCTGGAGTTCAACCTCACGCTAAGATAAAGAATATGTCGTGATCATGTATCTCTTGTAGAACTCTCTTCACTTACTATTTTTTCTTCACATCCTCTTGTGAGATCCCCTGCGTTCTTTATATATGTTCGAGGATCCAACCCTAACACACTGCTAGAAGGAGTCTTAAACCGACTACCAACTAGGTGTTCCCATGATCTGTGAAATGCTGAGTTAAAGATAAACTCCAACACCCATAGAGTTCTACGATATCCCAACTCCATCTTGCCTAGTTCAGAAATTACGTCAGTGGCTTCAGACTCCTTGTCATGATAGGAGACGCCAAGCAGCAGTAGGATGACTGAACAAAATGCTAAAACACAAACACAAGCATCTAGCATAATCTATGTGGTTATGATTTGTCAAAAAAATAACGTCAATCCATAAAGAGGGCAATCAAAAACCAAAATACAATAGTGCTAACAAACT